TTTTTTTTTTAGTTTCGCTTAACAAAGTAAAGATCAAACAACTTCTGTTTGTACATGTAATAGTCAGAACAAACAGCAATAGCATGCATAATCACCAACATGAAAATGTATATTTCCCCATCATGTATAACCCTCATCCACCCAATCATGTGTGTTGAAAAGAGAAAATATATCTCCTTATTTCTTTTCTATTTTGCTTGATAATTTAATCACTGTAAACGTTAACGTGCAATAACGAGTATAATGAAAAACAGTAATGAATACATATGCATAAATGCATAAATAGATTTCTAAACATAATTATACAGAATATATATTTACATGTACATATTTTATGTATGCGCGAATAAGAATAACTGGGTTATATCATATAATTTCATGTATACATGAGGTATAAATGTATGTATATAAGATTTATAGAAATATATGGATAAACATATTCTTCAAGTTCTTTATTACCTTGTAAATATGTTGTATATGAATGTATCGATATATAAAACAATAATCGTGAATAGTAACTAGTAAAATGTTTTAGGAGTTGTGTGTATATATTGGGTATGCTTGTATATATTGTGGGTATGATTGTATATATATATGTATGATTGTATATATTGGGTATGCTTGTATATATTGTGGGTATGATTGTATATATATATGTATGATTGTATATATTGGGTATGCTTGTATATATTGTGGGTATGATTGTATATATATATGTATGATTGTATATATTGGGTATGCTTGTATATATTGTGGGTATGATTGTATATATATATGTATGATTGTATATATTGGGTATGCTTGTATATATTGTGGGTATGATTGTATATATATATGTATGATTGTATATATTGGGTATGCTTGTATATATTGTGGGTATGATTGTATATATATATGTATGATTGTATATATTGGGTATGCTTGTATATATTGTGGGTATGATTGTATATATATATGTATGATTGTATATATTGGGTATGCTTGTATATATTGTGGGTATGATTGTATATATATATGTATGATTGTATATATTGGGTATGCTTGTATATATTGTGGGTATGATTGTATATATATATGTATGATTGTATATATTGGGTATGCTTGTATATATTGTGGGTATGATTGTATATATATATGTATGATTGTATATATTGTGGGTATGGTTGTATACATTGTGGGTATGATTGTATATATAATGTAAACATCTCTACAAGTGTAAACCAAATTAAGCATTATTGTCACATTATAGACATTAGTATCATAAAACAAATTTAGGCACTTCACCATCCAGCCTAACATCTTAGCTTTGTTTTCCATGTGTGCTAAATTCTTCTTTGTTTATATGTTTTTACCTCCCCTTTTCACCTTTCTCAACTTTGACCTGTCCTATCTTGACCCCTACTATCGAACCTTCATGTCTGAGTGCTTTCGTTGTGTAGTAAAACACTTGTGTGTGCGCGTGGTGTTCACGGTCGACCGCCTCTTTATACATGCTGTATTAATGTTTGACGATCATGGGTAATGATTTAGTTCAGTATCGGGTGGCGGTCGGTTGTTTCTACCAACGCACACACGGTGCATTGTCTAAACATAAGTTGTTATTTCACATTGATTTACAACAAATATTTACAAGCTGCAAGTCAGGTGTATTGTATATTATAGTAAATCTCCTATACGCTGTACATCTCACCCTATCTAGTGTTATCAACAACTCAAGTTTCCTTCTCTTACTACATCTCCTCCTTCTATCTTGTAATGACGTTCATCCTAACCCAGGCCCTACAAATCATAGTAACGATATCTCTATATTTCATTTGAACATTCGCAGTCTAAGAAATAAGTTATCGTATTTAGAACATGTAGCAACTGACTATGATATTGTTTGTGTCACCGAGACTCACCTTGATATATCTATAGCAGACGACGATATACTCCTAGGTGGCTATGAATTGTACCGCAAAGACCGTGGGTCTCCGGGTGGGGGGATAGCTGTTTACACATCCAGTCTCTTGTGCACCCGTCGTAGAGCTGACTTGGAATTTGGGGTGGGTGAAGTGGTTTGGACAGATATCCAGTTTCCAAATAAGAAATACCTCCTCTGTACACTCTATAGACCTCCTAATAGCACATTCTCCTTCTGGAATCATTTTCGTTTCTCTCTGGAAACTGCCTTACACGAAACTCCGTATGTTGTGATAGTTGGAGATATAAATGTTAATCTTTTAGTTGTAGAAAACACTCATGTAATTTACGATATTATAAATTCCTTTCACTTGTCAAACGTTATTAACAAACCGACTCGCATTGGACGCACGTGCTCTACCCTGCTTGACCCTATTCTACTCTCCGACACATGTGTTTTTACGTTCGCTGACGTAATAGACATAGACAAAGACATTTCAGATCACCAAGCGACGACCGTGGAATTGACTGTTGGGACAAATATTGAAAGGACATATAAAAGGAAAATAACTCTTTATAGTGACGCAAATTACGAATTATTTAAACACAAATTAGATGAGACAGATTGGACAGACTTATTTTCGCGGGTGCACTCCCTGGATGATAAGTGTGAAATATTTACAACGGCTTTTTTGAACCTAGCCAGGGAATGCATACCAACAAAATTAGTGACGATTCGACCTAATGACAAACCATGGTTTAATTCTAACTTACGACGGGAAATCAGGAAAAGAGACAGACTATTGCACTTATTTAAATCTAATCGTTCTCCAAATAACTTGACTAATTTTCGGAAACAACGGAATCATGTGAATAATCTTAAGAAAAGGACAAAAGATTTGTTTTACGCGGACATCAATGGCATTTTAGATCAATACTCTGATTCGAACCCTAGAAATTTTTGGAAAATTGTCCGCAGATTAATAAAAACTTCAGATAATTCTAATAGTATACCTCCCCTGAGAAACAAAACCGGAAAATTAGAAATGGCAAACGATACCAAAGCTAATATTCTAAATGATTACTTTGTTTCCATCTCGACAATCGATGATACTAACATTGACGTACCGACAGTAGAACTTCGGACAGACTCAACTTTATCTGACATACCGTTCCACATGAATGACATTATAGACATTTTAAAATCTTTAAATATTAATAAAGCTGTGGGTAGCGACACCATTAGCTACAATATGTTGAAAAATACAGCAAGTTCAGTAGCTCTCCCTCTATCCCTTATATTTAGATCTTCTTTGGATTCTGGTATCTTTCCAAACCAGTGGAAACAAGC